GGCGTTACCTCGCTCTGAGGCGTTCCATTTAAGGCTTGAAGTGCAAGCGAGAGCGCGGAACGAGCGACAAAGAGGCACAATCGGCCTCCGCGTTCGGCAGCGTTCGATATCTGTCTCTCTCCTGCTTGAGTGAGCGATGCGTCAATAATACATTTCCATTTACCTCCTTCTCTATATCCTTACAAAATATCTATCAAACAAATAATATTAAAATTTTCTTTTGAAAAATGAAACCATTCCATCAGTATTTTCTTATGACGTTGTCACGTTCAACTATCGTCAGTAAACCGACTTTACAGACAACCGATTTTTTGTTAATAAACAATTCATTTCTTCAAACGAGCATATTTCTAACCTGAATACCTACTGGCGCTAATACCTTGCAGTCTCTCAAAAACCATTCAATCCAAAAAAGAAATATTAATTTCTCATTATGTGACAGACTACACATTTAAACCATACCGTATGTTTCATTATCATAAGGTCGTCAGTCCTAAAACTGGTTGGACACGCACCTCCACTCTTTCCTATACTGCGTTACTCTTCGCATTTCCCTAAATCTAGAACAACCCACATCCTTAACGATTTGCGAACAGTAATTTAATCTGGGTCTACCTCTACCCCTCGTGTCGCGCTTCAAACATTTACCTTAGGAAGACCACAGACAAAAGTGTAAATTACAGAAGGACGCTAAGGGTGTTATCAAATTGGGCTCGGTGGTCCGATTTACGTATAGATGAGGAGATTTTGTTTACCTTTTGTGTTTGACAATTGGCAATACCGAAGTTGATGCGCAGTCGTTCCTCGCGCAGCCAACCATTTCGTTTGCTTTCCCTTATTAGTATAATGATGCTTTTTACATGCATTCGCTTCGAATTAAGTTACTGCTATTATTATTATACGTCAATTATTCAAATTTTCAAGACAAACGTACACATGTGACATTTTTAAAAAGTAGAAGTAATCTTTTGCATGAACAGGATGTTCTTGTACTTTATTTTATTGTTAAAAATGCATTTGATTACGATCAGTATAGTTTCTATCTCATATTACCATATTTCACTGAAAAATGATTTGAAAACAACTTTCATTTTCATACTTTCCCTTTATCTTTACAAGGCTTTGTTAAAAAAAGGTTAATGATAGTTTACCTTTTTAATTCTTTGAGCACAATTAAAAAACAGTTAGCAAAGGCATATAAATGGTACTTGTGAGGCGCATGGACACACCTAATGAATAAAAAATAATGCAATTGCTACCGTACTATAGATTGTGTTGATACAATTATTAACTAGCGTTTTCTGCTATAACAGATGAATATTTATGATAAAATAGTAGATTGTGAGATAATTTCTGTGTATTTCATTATTAACTTAATGAATTTGTGGCGATATAACTCTTATTGTTTTTTTGTGTGTAAATGTTTTTTTCTAATTTTATTTCATTTCAAATAATATTTCATTTCAAATATTATTTCACTTCAATTCTTTTCAATTTCTTATCTTCTAAATACTTTGGTTTCCTTTCAATCTAAACTCTATTGTTCTTTCAATCACTTTTACCTGGAAATCCAACTTCAACCATACCTGCATGCGTTCTTTTACTAATATCTGGTTTTACCCTTAATTGCTTTCTCTTGAATTCTGTACTATCCAATTCTGCGTATTCCTATAAACTAGTGTCTCCACCCTCTCTCTCACTACTTTTCCTTCTAGAACATTCTACCAAATCTACTAACAACCCTATCCTATAAATACTCCCAAATTTCATATACCAAGAGAGAACCGAGCGGCATGGCCTAGAGGTCTAGACCATTGCTTAGCATTCGGGAGGACGCCGGTTCGATTCCGGGTCCGTCTGCCTTGGTCCAGGTTTTTCTGTGGTTTCCTTGGATCACCAAGGCAAATGCTGAAGCAGTAATATTCCACAGATAATCTTTCATTCTCTTCTGTCTTCATTTCGTCCGTCTCAACTTTCTCACCCGAACCACCACCCACCCATTCCCACGATTCCTGAAAGCAGGCTGAAGAGGGCCTTCCGCCCTACCTNCTGTACTGTCTAATACTACGTATTCCTATAAACTAGTGTCTTCACTACTTTTCCTTCTAGAACATTCCATCAAAATTACTAACAACCCTGTTCTATAAATAGTCCAAAAATTTCATATCTCAGGACAGTCTCTCGTCTACCGCTACTACCACCATTTGTAAGTGCTTCTATTATTCTATTGTTATTCGCTACATTGTTTTCATTTTTGTTGTTGTCTTTGTTATTGTTACTGTTTTATTATCTTGTTCTTTTTCTCACTTTGTTCTCATATGTCTGTTGCATTTTCCCTGTGCCTTTTTGTTACTTGTATTTTCATTTGTTATGGTTGTACATAATTGTTCTAAATTGTTATTTGTTATTGTTAGTGTTTTATTGGTATTTAAATAATATACACCAAAAGACACTAAAAATTATTTTAAAAAAGTAAAGGTAAAGTATTTTTGTAATGTCATAATTAATAGTAACTGCCTAAATAAATTAAAATTACTTAGCTGTGTGAACTTTTCTTGGGCAAGGTGTATCACGGTTATGTGCTTATCCAGTGCATGACTTTTTGTTCAATAAGTTTCATTCAAATTTGTTCAGCTATTAATAAGGTCTGACTGACGATGAGAAGCAAATATTCTTGGTTTGCTACGTGTCACTTATTGTTCTTTTTTATTGTAATAATATTGTTCACTCGAATACAGTTGCACAGTCTGTCACTTTTTTCAGTACGTATATTTACTATAAAAGAGATTGATCTTCTGTACCGGAATTTTCCTTCGTTTTCTTCAATACCGTACTACCTGCCAATATTTTAGTAAAAACATCGGGAACAAAGAAAATATTATATTCAGAAAAATAAATGTTTAAAAACGCGGATGTATTAGAATATGTTGATCGTGTCTAGTTCTGTATTATCCTGCTTTGTCTTGTCGTCTCTTGAAAACCAAAACGACATCGAAAACAAGATACTCAAACGATCAAGATAAACAAGTTGAAAAACTTATTTTATCAAGTCCGCTTTCTTTCTTCTTCTTTCGCTTGAGTGTATCTAATTTTGAATAAGACAATAGAAAAAGAGAATGCATTCACGAAGCATTTAAAATTTACAGGTATAAAATATAAATAAATGTATATGCATAGATATAATTTATAGTACAATATATAATAAAGAATTTATTCGCATTTAAAATATTTAGTCGAGACATGTACCATCAAGACATTATCAAAAACATGTATAAAAGACATTATTTTTCGATAAGAAGAAATATTTTGTGGATTAGACCGGCTAGTGCATATGTATCTTTCAAGAAGTCAAGTCCTTGATTAAATAACTTTCCAAACTGTTCGTGGTAAATTTTTGACATCGGCAAATAATCATCATCTTCCATAACTGCTTTTCCGGCATTGAATATACACTACTTTACTTCTGTCGCTGCAGGCGAATGATGAGGATACTGTGGATAGAAAAGGTTAAAAATGAAGAGATATTAGAAAGAATAGGAGAACAGAGGACTCTATGGAGTCAATAAGAAATAGGCGAGATAGGTTGGTAGAACACCTTCTCAGGTATGAAGATCTAGTCAGAGACATATTAGAGGCAGAAACAATAGTTAAGAGGAGTAGAGGTAGAACTAGATTAGATTAATGTTCGCAAATAGTAAAGGTTGTGGGTTGTTATAATTTTGGGAAAATTCGAAGATTAGCTCAAGATAGGAAAGAGTGGAAGTGCGTGTCCAACAAATCTTAGGACTTATGAGCTTATGATGATGATGATAACCCAAAATCCTAAACTTTCGCGATCTCTTTATTCTTACTATTAAACATCGATTTAAATTTTTAAGTACGTTTCATGTGCCTAAAAAATAATGAGTTTGTTTCTTTGCAGCTAATCTTCAGTTTGACAACATTCACAAGTTATCGTTTCGAGAACTCCTTTTGGAAGGAAAGACGCTCTCTTCCTCTCCAATTACCGATGATTTACGTCTTAAACATGTCAAAGATGATCTTGCGATTGTGTTGTACACCTCTGGAAGCACAGGTGTGCCTAAAGGTAAATAAAACCATTATTTAATAGTTTTTTTTTTAAAAGAACGGGTAAAGACTAGCTTCATTAAGGTAAGCGCACACTGGAGCGCTCCGAGTGGTATGGCCTAGTACAGGGGACGGCAACCTGCGTCTCGCGAGACACATGCGGCTCTTTGGATGTGAAGCTGCGGCTCTTTAGTTCCATACGAAAGTATTATTTATTTTATCAAAAAAAAGAAACATTTAAAAATCGTTCTGAATTGATTAACGAGGATTAGGCACTGATTCTATCTCTCAGCCAGTTATACTCGCTTTTCACAGCATTCCAACAGTCTTCCAGATTGTTACAGTAAAGAAGAAGTTGGCATGTGGAGTGCTGACTATTTACGGATCGACATATTCCTGCGAGCAAGCCCTTGCATGAATATAATTAAAAGTAAAGTAAGAAGCCAACTAAAAAATGAAAATTGAGAGTCGTGTTTGAAACTTAAAACCACAAGTTATGAGCCAAATTTATCCAAACTTTCTAAAATCATGCCAACACTCCCATTGAATTTGTTTGCTCAAATGTATGTTATTATTCTTTTTTTTATTCTAACTACAAGTTACATTGTTTAGTAAAGTTTAAATTTTCTACTTTGTTTGTTATTGAAGTACAACTTAGTGTTGTAAATAAATGGATATTTTTTCTTATGAATAAATAGAAATTCTTTCTTATGAATAAATAGATGTTTTTTATCAAAAAAATTTATTTAAATGCGAGTACTATTTATTTTTGGCAAGAAAAAATTTTGTGGCTCTTTAGAAACTTTAATATTTTGTAAATTGTAATTTTCGACTCTTCCGACTCAAAAGGTTGCCGACCCCTAGCCTAGTATTTGGGAGGACGCCGGTTCGATTCCGGATCCGTCTGCCTTGGTCCATGTTTTTCTGTGATTTTCTTGGATTACTTAGGCAACAATCTTTCATTCTTTTCTGGCTTCATTTCGTTCGTCTCATCTTTCTCACCCCTACCACCACCCACGCATTCCCACGATTCCTGAAAGGAGGCATAAAAGGGCCTTCCGCTGTACCTTCCGGCGTAGTTCGGAGGGACTGCGCACCCACTAGCATTAGTGGCTGAATGAAGCACCCGAAAGTTTTTTTTTAAGTTTTTTCTGGAGCGCAGTGAATCGACGGAGCACGGCGAACTAACTATGCGTACATAGCTTGTTTATTATTGGCAAAACTTTTAAAACTGAACGTGAAATGCATTGATCATAGTGATGAGCAAAATTAGTATTGGTCTTGCTAAAATGCAAGACCAAGAGTGTCTTCATAGTGCAAGACGAAGCGAACAAGACCAAGATTAAAACCAAGACCGAATATACAAGACCAAGACTAAATACGCTAGGCTAAACAAACAATTATTGCCTTCGGTGAATTTATGAGTTAAACTATTTGAAGCAACGTTAAAATATTCATTTCTTGGAACAAAACATTTTAGTATTTGAAATTTTCATTTTGCTTTACTAGATCTTAATACTAACTATAGAAAAAAAGAAACTTTAGCACTGTTTAAAAAGGGATCTACAAGAATGTCCTCGGAGTAAGTGTTCTTTGTTGTTATGTCTGGATAACACATGGTTGAAATATAGAGACAAACTATTTTTTTTCGGAATTTTTTACTTCTTTCAAGTACCTTGTACTGTTTTATTCGCTAAAAGGTTAGTTTATGCGTTAGAGGAAGGGTTAATTTATGCATTGGAGGAAAGGTAAGTTCTTAAATATTCATAGCTCTCACAATTATCGACACTATTCTCTTTAAAAATCCTGACAGAAAGTTCCAGCATTTAAGACAATTATTGTGTCGGTAAATAGAAAAACGCATGCTGGGACAGTCTTGGTCTTGGTGTTGCTTTGCTCATCACTAATTCATTATTCCGCAATTAATGAGTTGGCTGATAAAGAACTATGAATTGTTTTTTTTAGTTAGAAGAGGAATAGAGCGCAGAAAGAAAACAAATTTAGCAGCGTAAAACATGTGCAAAACGATAAACTTTTGTTGAAAATTGTATGTCTCCTACTTCCCGTCAGTTTTCCTCTCGTTGCTGTAATTTATGTATTTAAGGTCATACAATTCTTGGTACTTTTGTAACTTTATTATAAACTTTTCGCGAAAATACGTGATGATCTATCTATTTGGACAATCACCTAACACAGCGGACATATCTTAATTCCAATGCTCCAGAGCAGAGCGCATTTATATTGATGCACTGCGCTTCATGCAGTTCAGCGTGCGTTGCCACATTTAAATCATAATAAACACATTTTTGCGCTGCACTTTATCAATTCGTCGTGCTCCTCTGTGCGTTTACTTTTAAGAACCATACGTAAATAAAAGGAAGATTTATTCAAGAACAATAAATTATCATTTCTTCATTATCACCATTTACCAATATCGTAAGGTCTTCAAGTTGAAGACTGATGGACACGTACCTCCAATTTTTCCTAAATATCAAATCAACATTCTCATTTCTTGGAAACTAGAGTAACCTAAATCTCTATTTGCGAACAATAATCTATTTTAGGTCTAGGTGCTTCTGCCCCTGTTATCTCCTATTTCTACTTATAATACGTTTCTAACCTATCTTGTTTATTTCTTATTGACTTCCACAATGCCGTTTATTCTTTTGTCTTTCTAATACCTCCTCCACCGTCCAAATTTCACATTTTTGTGAGATTGTTCAAACATACATTTTTGATAATCGTTTTCAAATTTCCGCCCTCAAGTATCTGACTCTCTAAATATCGAAAATCATCGACTTCTTCTAGTTTTTCGTCTATTATTTTTATATTAGTTCTAACCCTACTTGTGCATCCCTTACTTTTTTATTTGCATCGCTTCCATTTTATTTAAAGCCAGCTCTAATTCCTCCTTGCTACATGATACCATCCGCAAATCTAAGCATGCTAATCTTTTATCTCTATACATCTATCCCTGAATACTTGCTGTCTTTAATACGTAATAATACGTAAGTAGTTATTGATTTTTTGTTTAACTTGTATTTGTATTTTACTTCATGCGTTTTTCTTTCTTCTCTGATGTAATATACAAAATTATTGCGTAACCAATGAAAATTTGTATCTAGTACCTACATACTCTTATTGTTTGGCATTTAATAATAATTAATCCACTTGAAGTGTTGTTATTCCCGTTTAATTGATTAATACTCCACGCACATTGTATTTTAGTTAATTAATTGAAAATAGATAAATAATTGATTGGTATTGAAATTATTTCTATTATCCGCAAGGTGTTTGTAGGTAAAGTTCATTGTCATAAATGGCGGTAATGTGGAAACTATTATTTACATACCTACACCTATTTGACCATGACATTAATTATTATCTTTTGCTCTGGAAACTTATGGATAAATTTCGGATTAACAACAAATATTTTTGAATTACATTGTTAGTAATAATCTTTAATTAATCTTGACACTCTTATTGTTAGTAAATGTGAAGGTATAGTTAGGATGCATCTCTAATTTTGTAGTTGGAATTTTTTGAATTCAGACAATATGCTGACTACAAATACATACGAGATTTGTCAAATAGTATTGCGAATTTTGAATTTCGGCAGGTTATGTATATTCCATTTTCGATTTTTTTTTTCGCGTTATGTTGGTACTCACGTCTCTCACTTATAACGACAAATTCGGCCATGTTGAATGTTCAGTTAATTTTTGGTACTTGTTTTGATTGCACAATGATTTGGGCATGAGACGGGTTGCCGCGAAATTCGTACCAAAATTACTCAATTTCGACCTAAAACATCATCAATGCGATGAACATTGCTAAGGAGCTGTTGGACGTCCGCGACGACCCAAATTTGTTCCAAACGGTTATAACTGGTGACGAATCATGGGTTTATGGTTATGGCGTGGAAACCAAATCACCTGGCATCTTCCACGTATAGCGCCTCCTAACGTGATGGTTGAATAAAGTATTCGCGACGGTTAAGTCATGTTTATCGCAAAATTCTATCAGCCTGTCTCCCCTATCATTTCTATTGCCTAATCTAAAAGAACCTGCTATTGCACCCACTTTACCTTCACCTATTACTGCGTTGAAATCTCCTAAAACTATTAGGTTTTCCTGTCCTTTCACTAAACTTAACACGTCTTCTATATCTGCATAAACTGCTTCTACGTCTTCATCACTGTAAGATGATGTAGGCATGTAGACCTGCACTAATACCGTTCTTACCGGCTTTGAGTTTAATTTAACCATAACTATCCTATCGCTTTTTTGTAAATAACTTTCTACACTCTGCCCTACTTTCCTACGCATTACAATTCCTACCCACCGAATTACCTTCTACCGATCCTGTATGTATTACTCTAAAGTCCCCACTCCAGAAGACTCCACTTCGGGCCAACGGACTTCACTTATACCTACTATATCTAATTCTAATCTATCCATCTCTATTTTTAAATTGTCTAATTTTCCTACTTGCCTCATTGTTCTAACATTCCACGCTCCGACTCGTGAAACATTGCACCTATCCCTATTGCACTTATTGATGACATCCCCCGAGGTAGTCCCCGCCCGGACATCCGAATGGGGGACTAGTTTACGTCCGGAATGCTTTACCCCAGAGGACGCCATCATTTAATTTCAGTAGTTGAACGTTTTACTCGGGATCATAATGTGGTGGTCTCCCGTTGCCTTTCACATCGCAGTATTGTGCATCAGAGTGCCATACCGATCCGAGTACTGAAAGAGCTGCTGCTCTCTTTCTGGGACTTGTCTTAGTCTGGTTTCTCTTTAAGAACCCCTCCATTATGGTTGAACCTGTGGTCCGGCTCCCTAAATCATCGAAACTCGCAAGCCGATCCACCCACTCTAGTTTGTACAAGAGTTTCGTCAAGGTTCAAGTCCCGTCGGATCGGTAGAACGGTCAGTAAGAAATATTACCTGCAAGTTATGCGCAATTTTCTCGAAGCAATTCGTCAAAAACGCTCGGATTTGTGGAAGAACAAAAATTAACTTTTGCACCATGATAACGTCCCTACTCACACATCTTTGCTTATGCGCGAATTTTTGACCAAAAAAAGGACGACGCTACTCTACGATTGAGCTGAACAGAATCACAAAAAAGTATTTTTTGAAGTGCTTCGATGATTGGGAAAAACGTTGGTGTAAAAAGTGATTAATATCTGGTGGAGATTACTTTGAAAGGAACAAAATATAGATATTCATGAATAAAAAAATAATTTTTGAAAAAACAAAAAATTCGCGATTTGAATACAAATATTTTGTATATAGTATGATTTCTTTTTTTCAGGGGTACGCCTTCCTCATAAAACGATACTCAACAGACTTCAATGGCAGTTTAAAACATTCCCTTACAGTAAAACAGAAGCAAATTGTGTTTTTAAGACAGCATTAACTTTTGTCGATAGCGTGGCCGAAATATGGGGACCATTAGTAAATGGCCTTGCAATAGTGGTTGTTCCTAAAGCAACCACTAGAGATCCTGAGAAGCTAGTCACTACACTGGAAAATTATAAGGTATTATTATAATATTTTAGTACCAAATGTTTTATCATTTCGAATAAACCCCAAGCAGTGCATATTTCAAGCGTTAGAGGTAATGACATGAGCTTTGGCCTTGGGTTGCCTAGTGACAAAAACTCCGTTCGTTCACTAATTTCTACATTTGAGCCTCCTAAATGCATGACCGTCACTTTTTACATTTTGTCTTGAGGTCCATCCCTGGTTGTATAGGGAGGTGTATGGTTTTAGAATTAATACAACCACAGCCGAATCAATATTCTCCAAATCTACAAAATGAAGCGATAAAGCCCGTCTCCGGTGCATCTGAAGATTCATAACATTCTAAACTACCTATACATATTAATTTGTTAAATCCTGCATTCCGAAATTAATGATAAATAATAGGCTATGGTATACCCAGCAAAAACAATAAAAATTGTAGGCAGTCGCTACGATCATGTTTCCTTTCTCACCACAGTCTACGAAAGCTCTAATGTGCTCTTACAGTAAGATATAAAATGCAGACTGGGGCAGTCTCAGTCTCGGTCTCGTTGTCAGTCTTTGTCTTGCGTGTAAAATCTTCGTTTTGTTCATTCAATCTGATACGTAGACTGAGCTTTGCTTTGCTCATCACTAGTTCTTATAGGATTGGAATATAAAATTCTTTTATTGCATTGTTGGATTCCTGCTGTCTAAGAATTGTTTTTGAGCTTTCTACGTCGTTTTGAAGAACGTCACAATTCAAGTCTATCATGACCTTGGAAAAAGCGAGTGACGTCATGATACTGTTAGGCCTCACTTCCCAGTTGTTATACTCTGTTTTAACTTAAATGCAGTATAATACACAAACAAATTTTGGAAAATGAAGCAACCCTAGCGGCGCAGCGATATTTGAAATATTTTATGTAAAAATTTTGCCCAAAAATAGCAAAATTTAAGGGTTATGATCGACAAACATTTTCTTTCATCTTTTATGTGCCTGAATACTCAATTCTCCACATCAAATGGTTTGAAGTACCTACATATTTTTTTAATAACTTATTTGAATTTCCTGATTTCAATTTTCGAGTTCACGGGGCTGGAGCTTTTTAACAGTCGATCGTAACGAGTTCAAAACATTATGAACGAACGAATTCAAACGAATGAAGTTTCTGACTGAAATATTTCTCAAGTAAGTACGGTACGTTTACATTTCAAACTAATAAAAGAAGATTTGTGCTTTATCTTTTGATTTTACTTGAAACCCCTTTTAATTTGTGTTGTTTCTATACGAAATGGTATTTTTTTGTGCCTGATTAGTATTCCCCACAGTGTATAGTCCGAAAATATTTTATAAATTAAAAATTTATTTTTCAATTGATTAAATCAATCTCTTGTTAATTTTTAGTTTTTTTGTTTTTGTTGTTTAAAATGTTTGACAGATATAATGAATTCCCTAAATTTGATATAGAATTGAGTATAGGCTAATGTCTCTTAGGTGTCTGGCAACTCTGAAAGAGCTTCTGCTTTATCCTTCGGCTTTTCACTTGACTGCAGGTCGGACATATGTAGTTGTTGGGAAATACGTAAAAGTTTTTTTTCTAATTAACGCGAGACCATTATCGGATTGTGTGAAACTCTGTACTTTCACAATCTTTAAATTTTTCATAATTTTCATGCGTACTGTATTATTTTATTATTAATATTTTAACTAAAATGCATTGTTTGTATTGTATTANTTGGTAGTAACCATACCTAAAAAGGAGGCGCGGATTGGTGCAAGAGATTTAGAACAGTTAGCTTAACTTTTCAAACCTTAACTAGAATTGAGAGAGGATGGAAAAAAGGGCGGGAGAACTATCAGAGGAAGATCAATTTGAGTTTAGAAGAAAAGGAGAAACGCGGGAGGCCATCCTAGCTTTACGGGTAACAATAGAGAAAACGATAGAAAATGGAAAGAGTGCGTACATAAAATTTGTAGATTTAGAAAAAGCTTTTTTAATAATTTTAAATGAAACAAGATGTTAAACATACTTGAAAATGTAGGGATGACTTACAAAGATAGAAGAGTGATACATAGTTTGTATAAAGAGCAACAGACAGTTATAGAGATGGGACTGCAACGTAGAAAAGTAAAAATTAGGAAGGGAGTCAGGTAGGGATGCACACCGCTACTTTTTAATCTATACATCGAAGACGCGATCAATATCATTAAAGACAGTACAACTGTAGGGATAGATGTGCAAGGGCAAACGATTAGTACGCTTAGATTTGCAGACGATATAGCAGTATTAACATCTAGCAAGCAGTATTGACATAACAGTATTATATGAAAATAAATAAAAGTAAAACAAAAATAGTGGTATGCAAGGGAAGAAACAGTAGGGAAAGAGCGAATATAAAAATAGAATACGAAAAATTAGAAGAAGTGGCAAATTTCAAGTATCTAGGAAGACAGATAAGTCAGCACGAAAGGAGTAGCAGGAATATAAAGCAGAGGATACGCAGGATCGAGTCGCCTTCAATAAAAAGAAGTCACTTCTATGCCCATGAATGGTTAATTTAGAAATTTTAAAAAGATTGCGGCGCTTTTTATGTTTTCAGGAAGAGAGGTCTTCAAGAGACACCCAGCCTTCGTACCACTGGGTAGTGTCGAATTCCCGAGGCTACCCAGTCGTACGAATGCGAAATATTGACGGTGGCAGTGGAGGAAAAGGTTAGATACGTTCGAGATGTGGTATTACAGACGAATGATAAAGATACCGTAGGTAGACAAGGTGTGCGTAAGTCGCTAGACATCATCTCGTTAGCTCAGGATGAACCAATGGACTAGTTTGGTCAAGTTAAAGACTCTTGTTGCGTTAAAGCTTTATATTTTCAAAAACACAACACTATTTACAAAAACTTAATGCATAAAACCTTAACCTACACATAACCCAGTTTATGTGCAGATTTCCCAAATTCTACTCTTTGAATACCAAAACCGATACGAGAGCGCCTACTCGTCTTGAAAGAAGCAAATGTACTTCTTTTTCTGAAATTCTTTTCGAAAAATTATCTGCCTCCTCCTTGAACCTTTTTTTATTACCACTTGTTTTCAAGTTTCGATCTGCCTGCATATAACCCATAAAGTCCCAAAGAGAAAGTTAGCAGGTATAATCCCAGCCCTTCTGAATGTATATTTTTCAAAAAGGAGCAGACAACAGCTACACAGTTTTAAAGTATTTTTTCTAGGAAATCTAAACGGAAGGTTAGAAATGAAGAGGTATTAGAAAGAATAGGTGAACAGACTTTGTGGAAGTCAATAAGAAATAAGCGAGATACCTAGGATACCTTCTTAGACATGAAGGTCTAGTCAGAGACATATTAGAGCCAGTTAGGAGGAGTAGAGGTAGCCGTAGACCAAATTATTATTCGCAAATAGTTAAGGATGTGAGTTGTTCTAGTTTTAGGGACATACGAAGATTAGCTCAGGATACGAAAGAGTGGAGGTGCTTATTTAACCAATCTTATGAATGACGACCTTATGATGATGACTGTATTATTGCATTTGAAAATAATTTGTTCAACTACAAATAAACGATGCATAATATGCAGCTGTGAAGTCGTTAATTAACCTTTTTATGGATGGTACTAAATAGCTAAAACAAACATTAAAGTTACATTTTAATATTTATTACGTCAGCAATACGTACCATACACAATTGCGTGATGTTAATATAATGATGCTATAAAATTGTCATAAATAAACAAGTGTCCATTGTGAATTCATTATCGATTGTTGTTGTTTATTGAAGTAATTTCTAATTATTATTTCATCCGTTCAAATAGTTAGGTGCCTCAACCTTATTTTAGTAAAATATTAAATTTCCTGAGTGAGCGTATCTCAATCAATTTTGGTAGACGTCTGCCTTGCAGCGCATGGTTTAAATTTCGAACAATTTTAATAAAATTACAATTACTTATCCAGATGCCAGAAGATTTTAATTTCCCTGCTAATGCTTACGTACCGTTATTTTCTTCTTCCTTTTGGTTTTTAATACTATATCGAGGTGTAGGTACTTCAAACCGTACTGCCTACTATTAGCGATGAACAAAGTTGTTACTAGTTAATTTTTATCATAACGGGCGTCTAAACATTATTATGTGTTGTAGCGTAAAGGCAAGCTATTGAAATTTATATTATTAACCGTTCCACAACCGGCATTGTTTATATTCTCCATCGATGTAGCTGCTTAGTTGTTATGTCAACTCACTAGTTTACAGACTGGCTTCGGATTCTGGTTTTCATACAAATTTTATTGTCCCTTAAGTACGCTGTTTACTCATCATGCGAAATACCCTGTATATATGCTCTAAAATTGTAATCCACAAGTTTCATCTCATTAAAGTTCGTCTAGTTATTTAAAAAAAAAGGTATATTACAATAAGGAAGATTTCAGACTATGTTGTGAAACTAAGTATTTTAAGATGAATTTAGTTTTAAATAAAACTCATTTTAACAAAACCCAAGATAAACGATGAAAACAGCTGAAATGTGCATGCTACTGTTTCAAAGTCAATGATGGACAGTATTTGCGGTTGTAATCGTTGTAAGATGACAATGACATATCAAACATATTATTGCAACATTTCGTGTTGTTAGCAATTAAAAAATGTTAGCTTAATGCTGTTTCGGATGAAATAAGGAAGGTAATAACTCACTTGAAATCGTGGAGAAGAAATTTGTTCCGGAAATTCCTGATAAAATCTTTCCATTGGGTATTCCCTAAATACTTTTTTTATTAACAAGCAATATCATGTTTTATTCATTAACTTATTATTAACGAAATTTACATGAAATTCTTTTCAGTATGAGAAATCTCTAAAAAAGAAACATACGTGTTTTTAATTGTTGGATCAACTTGAGTTAATAAAGCCCTTGTTTAGTGGTTTATTAAGACTACTAGACTTTAGTTAGATGTCATAATTTAAAAACTGAACAATCTTTCACATGTTTTTTTATTTTATGAAGATTTTGAGATGATAGTTTATTTTTACCAAACATACTGCAAAGCGGTGCAATATCCAGATGCCTCTGGTGTTTATTCTTGATCAATCATCCCATGAGAAATTATGGTAATTATCTGGAAGTGGGGTCTACCATATTTTCTACCTTAAAAAATCTAAAAATTGACGTTTCTAAATTTTTTTTTTGATTTTGTTTATTTTCACAGCTCATTATACTTCCAAATAATTACCGAAATTATCATTCAAGCAAATAATTAGATATTCTTTGAAAGTCACCACAGTCCATAACCATCTACTACGTTATCGCGTATCATTTTAAAAGTAAATACAATTCAAAAATGTATTGAACACTACGTACAATTCTGAATTGTTAAGGTAAATCTAGCTTTTAATTAAAATAATTCTGTAATGTCGTGTCAATTGCTACTTTATAACTACAACACTACACATCACGAACTAAATATCTACAACGTTCATCTAATTGCTTCCATGCATCGTTAACTGCTTACCTACATAATAAGATACTCGATTTTTTGGTTGTCCAATGCCGTTATTACTTTTACTTTTGTTAGCACACACTATTGTGATGCTATTAATTATCCTTGAGAGTGGTTTTGTAAATAAAACTCTTTACATTTGCTTATGTGCAAGTCAAATAAATTTTATTTTATTGTTTTGCAGATCGAAAGGCTTGTCCTCGTTCCTTCTCTTCTGCGATCGCTCCTCATGTACCTAAGCCTACAGGTGAGTGAGCCCAAGACTATTTAAACCAGTACCGGAAAAACCGGTATGACAAAATCATCATATTTTGATAAATATTTGATGATCAAGTGTGTAAACAAAAGCGACTATGTGGGTACAAAAATTAGCGGATAGTACAATGACTACTGCACAACATATTTTTTTATAACAACTATTCAATATTTTTTATTTGAATGTTGCTTGGTTTGTCTTTATTTTGATGGTTTTACCTGTGGACGTGTTTGTATAATTTATTAAAGTATATTTAGAATATACGTAAATACTTAATTTTTTTTTGATAAAAATATTCCTTTTGCTAAAAAATTGGAAGGTTTCGTCGATTTGCAATAAAAGACATAATAAAAACAACTTGGCATGTAATAAAAAAAAGCATATGTTTGCCAACGGTTTATTTAGAAATTCCAAAAAGATTATTAGAAGTGTATGTCTGCTGCACGGGTTTACACACGGCGACATGGGTACGGGTTCTATGTACGAGGGATATGTTTCCAAGTTCTAGGAATTTAGCTATAATTTTTATTATTTTGTTAATTTTCGTCAATATTAGAATATATTTTTCAACATAATCTCCATTTAACTGAATACATTTATCCCAACGATAAACTAGCTTTTTTAAGCCGCCCTCAAAGAACTTTTTGGTGTCTCCTCAATACCGCGTAAGGATTTTTTCAAATCTGGGAAGAGATGACAAAAACTGGATGTAAGATCCAAGGAACAAGGTGGATGCGGAAGCAATTCTCGTTCAAACCATTCTTCGTTTTTCTTGCAGTATGTTGCCTTGCATTATCCTGTTGCAATAACGGATCCTTATACAACTTTCCAGGCCGTTTTTTGACAAGTGCCTGTCGCAGTGGTCCGGATATTAAATTCGAATAATATTCTGCGTTAATTGTACTACCTTTCACCAAAAAATCCATAAAAATAATCCCTTCGCAATTCCAGAATACACTAAACATTACCTTTCCAACAGACGGAACTGCACGCGCTTTCGGTGGAGGTCCTTCTTCAGGTTTGCGTCATTCTTTGGATTGACTTTTGGTCTCAGGATTAAAATAAGGAATCCACGTTTTGTCGGTAGTTATTATTCATTGCCAAAATTCATCACCATAACGGGCTAACAGTTGACGACAAGTGACTTATTGAGTTTCTGTTCTGGTCCCAACAGCGTTGGCACCCAGCGCGCGACCTTGCTAACGCCCAAACAATCATGCAGGATGTCATGAAATGGTCGTGTACCTATCCCTAGGAGCACACTAATTTGACGTTTGCCTGTCCTCTTTCCGTAGGTCTTCGACGACAGTAATGTTTCTTTCATTTCGTGGCGTGCTTGAGCGCCCACTGCGTGGATCGTCTTCTAGTGACCATCTACCGGCTTTAAAACGATTGATCCACATATAAACAGTACTTTTGGATTCTGTAGGCTCACCAAATACTCGTTGCAGACGCTGAATAATTTTTGATGTTTACACACATTTTTTCCACTAAAAGAAAATTATTGCTCTTTTTTGCTGCTTCTTCCATGGTTACAAAAACAGTGCTATGAAAACGCGTTTTTATCAGTCGAACACCTAAATCAACCTGAACAATATTGCACTAGATAATTGCATAAACATGTCAAGACTTATCTGGCACCAATAATATTGTTTATAAGTTCTGCGTAATTTAATTATAGCACAATTCCCAGAACTTTGGAAACATCCCTCGTATATTACTTCGCTCAGCGCTCACAAAATTCAAAAGATGAAGAAAGAGGGGAAGCAATTCAGTAATAATATAAAAAAATGCGGAAACTTCAGAAATGTAATATGAAGATTGGAATAACTTTGGCGGTTGTTGTAGAACAAACAGAATAGCTCAAAACCCGAACGCCAAAACACGACACTGTAGTTGTCCGAAGCACTTTTCGGTAACAAAGTTACCTTCTTCAGGGACTGAAGTAAACTTAACCTAAATGAGAACTAATCCTAATTTATACTGATAGTTGTTAAGGTTCAGTGAACATGACCCGAAGCCAACAAGGTAGATGTTCAATGGACCTTAACATCATCATCATAAACGTAATTAAACTAAACTAAATAGCGGAGATCCAGGGATGGGACCGTTGTCATTGTTAAGAACAATTTGTTTATTTTTATAAATGTATAAACTTTCAAAACTGTTTAGTAAACGATTATTCCTAACTTCTTTAACTAACTTAAGGTTATTAATATTAATATTATGTCCATCAGTAAGAATATGTTGGGCAACACTAGATTTTTCTTCTCTACCAAACCTAGCATGAGCTAGATGTTCTTTAAATCTGGTTTTGATTGAACGTCTAGTTTGTCCAATATATTTTTTACTACAGTCATTACAACTAATTTCATATATCCCCGACTTTTCTAAGAATGGAATTTTATCCTTAGGGTTACCAAGGAGAGTTTGAATGGAGTTGCCATTTGAACTGTAAGCAATCCGTAAACCAAGTTTTCGAAAAATACCCTCGAGTCCGCGAGTAAATCTTGGCTCGTATGGCATAGTAATAAACTTGGTTTTATTAGCATCTGTTTGAAAAGTCGTAGATCTTGAAATAAAATTCCTAAATTTTATCTTATTAATTAATTTATCAATAATGTTACAATTGTAACCATTGTCTTTTGCAATTTTCTTAATTGTACAGAGTTCCTTATTATATCTATTTTTACTAAGAGGGAAGCTAAGTAATCTGTGTACAAGGAAGTTAAAACTAGCCATTTTATGTTGAACACAATGATTAGAGTCGTTGGGTATATATCTAGAGGTATTAGTGGGTTTTCTGTAGATGTCGAATTCTAAAGAATTCCCATTTCTTATAACCAACGTATCTAAAAATGGTAATTTGCCATCTTTTTCCATTTCTACAGTAAATTTAACCGAAGGGAAACGTGAATTTAAAACATCAAGAAAGTCTTGAAGACTTCTGGAACTTAAATCGAAGATAGCGAAAATGTCGTCCACGTATCTAAGCCATATTACGTTTATGATGATGATGTTAAGGTCCATTGAACATCTACCTTGTTGGCATCGGGTCATGTTCACTGAACCTTAACAACCATCAGTATAAATTAGGATTAGTTCTCATTTAGGTTAAGTTTACTTCAGTCCCTGAAGAAGGTAACTTTGTTACCGAAAAGTGCTTCGGACAACTACAGTGTCGTGTTTTGGCGTTGGGGTTTTGAGCTATTCTGTTTGTTCTTCAGAAATGTAGCAAGGGAAGATGTTGAAGTAGCCTACTGTTTATTGCTGCGCGGAAAATTATGAAAGAATTGAGAGTTATTGTGTTTATTAGGAAGGTAGGTAAAAGATATGCAAATTAGAGATGCACCGGATAGTGAATTGTCGAGTACCGGATAACCAGGTGTCGTCAAAACCACAACGGCTAGTGGTTTATGGCTTCGTTCTGACAGGCATTTAAAAAGTTGTGGAAACACTAAACCAATGAAATTTTAATTTTTAGTTGGCGGACTTTCAACAAGAGGGTTGAATTGAAACCGTTTAAACGAGAATATGATGTTTAGAAACACTAAAAGTCTGCATGGATAAGTTATCGTTAATCTAAGCCTGATATTCCAACAGAAATTGTAACAGTTCGGCCATATTGATGTGTTCTTATTTACGAGAAAAAGTAAACACAAGAACTATATCCAAATAACAAATAATTTAGTAAAGTAATCAATAAATAATATAAATTGGGACAAATAGACTTCGTACACATTTCTTTTTGTAAGATATGCTTCTATATTCTTTCCTAATACGCTATTGTTACACAGTTCAAATTGATTTACTCAAATGGATAAATGGGCAAGTACCCACCTTCCATTAGTAATAATTCATCAACCATAATCATTCTATTTCCTCGAAGGCTGTCTACCCTTTCCAGGCCGTGGATCGGTGGAGAAGCCCACCCAACTGTATCAGCCAAGGGGAGTGATCGTATAAGTGTTCGGAAGTACGGAACCTGTTAAGGATTAACGTATTATTCTAGTTAATTAAATAACCTGTATCTTTTTTTGTATAAAATGAGTTTGTGATAATCCTGAGTGGGGAGAATAGGGTGCAATCTCGCAACTTCTTCGTATTCATTCGAGTCAAATTCATATGCTTACAGTCCACAGCACATGTTAATCCATTTTATTAACAGTAAAAAGTATAAACCAGATGAATTAGTTTTACTAGTGCCTATACTACTCAAATTATAGAGAAACCTAATCGCAAGAACCAATTTAACATTGCATTTGAAGAAAAATGTGTTCTCCCATACATTCAAACAGTATCTTGTTGAAACTTTTACCACGTTATGTTCAAATCACAGACTTCTTATTAATTTCTGTGTAATTTGTAAGTAAAGAACTATTTTCTGTATTTTTTTCAAAATTTTAGATGCATTACAGTTTTAGAGATACGGTGCGAATGGTCAATTTTCATCTATTTTCTTAAATAAGTTTAAAATTATTTATCTTGAAATTATAAAAAAAATGTATATATTTGAGACCCTTACAACAAGCCCTTTCATTTGACATGTCACCCAATACGGTTTGCAAAACTTTTCTTTTAATTTCCTATTGGCCGCCACAAAAATGACCCCCTTGTTCAAAATTAATTTATATACATTATGCGTCCGTGTTTGGGTTACAGAAATTCATACTAAATTTCAACTTAATCGGTCCAGTAGATTCAGAGCATTGCCTGTGCCAGGCGGACAGACAGGCACACGAGTGATCCTATAAGGGTTCCGTTCTTCATTCCGACGTATGGAACCGTAAAAAAAGTAAATATTTCGGTAATTATGCCAGTTTCAAAGAGTATGATGTAGGTTCTTTGAATTACGTGATTAAATCGCCAAAACAATAAATAATCGTTTTTGAAAAGGTAATTTCACTGTGAAACTACAAACCTATACGTTCTTTTTTTTTTTTAATTTTTGACGTGACAACGTCTTATAATTCGATGGAGCCCGCTGCACG